AGTTGTTGCTTTTTAAAGAGAAGTTTGAGGTTGCAGGAGACGGTGCCTTATCTGGTCTTAGACTGTCAAGATGTCAAAATTGAAATTCAACAATGTGCAAGAGACATACAAATTCTGCAAGACAAGAACAGTTTTACAACTAAAATTTTTGCCTTATGCATACTCTCATACTTATCCTACCTAATATAACTAGGGGTTTCATTGTTGAACGCAATTGGGCGATCCATTGACTGATCACTTTTCATAGACAGGTGTGAGAGTGCTGGAGATGGTGCCTCTTCTGATCTCGCCCTTTGGAACATGGAGAAAAATATGGGATTGTTATAGGTCATTATGGATTTGAACAACCTAGAATGCATTAAGTGTGCTGGAGATGGAGCTTTATGTGGTTTTAAACTTTTAGGAAGAGAGAAAAACAAGCTTAACATATTGCATAAGAGATGCCAAACAAGTGGTTTTGTAAATAATAAATTGTCTTTATTATACATCACACACACTATCTTTAACCCCCTGACAGAGTAAATTTTCATACTTCTCTCCCATGAAACTTTGCTCCATTGTTGAATGCAGTCTGTCTATCCACTGACTGATCAACTTTTAATAGACAGCAGTGAGAGTGCAGAAGATGGTGACTCATCTGGTCTCACCCTTTGGTACATGAAGACAAAGTTGAAATAATATGTTAAGTACATGAAATGCCATTAAATGGAATTAATGTTTCAAAATATCCTCTAAATACTCTGAGGGACATCAATTCATAAGCAAGAATTTGTCTAGTATTTAAAGCTACACCATGTACATTTTGTTTTGTTAGAAATAAACAAAATGTCCTTAAGGAGCGAGCACATAAAAATGTCCAAACTGTGTTTTTGTCTTACCTCATCTCACTATGGTAAGCCTACAGTAATGATTTATATATTAGAGCTGTCAGGACCGATTTTACAACATTTTACAGATTTTATGTCTGTGAATAAAGAAAAGAAGGTCTGGCTACTGTACACTCTAAAAATGCTGGGTTGGGTTACTACCCAGAAGGTTGGGTTAAACATTTAAC